TTTTTATGTATATATAAACGTTTTCATCAGTCTTACGGCCATTTCCTCAGATGGTTGTAAAATATTTATTTAAAATTAAGCAAATCGGAAGGAGAAAGGGAAAGGGAGATGGAATGCCAAAATCAGCTTCTTAAAAGCAAAAGGAATTAAAAAAAAACATTCCTCTATTTTATTTTAATTTATTTAATTTAAGTCCAAATTCTTCTTGTAACTAATTTCAATTTTCTCATCTTCTCTTTTCAGGTAAATGGCTCAAGAATCGTATGGATCTCAACGAGTAACTGAGTAAATCTGGCTACTAAAACATTAATGTTTAATCTAGGATAATAAGAGTGTAATGGTAATTACTGGCTAATGCTTTCAATGTTCATCTCTTTGTTGTAATGCGTTTTGGAAAAATCAAAAATTTGTGTGTTCGTAATAACGAAAGTGACAATTGTCAAAGAAAATCGGAAATCTCGCAAAGAAACTTGATTTACGTTCAGAAATATGTTTTTTACCAGCGCAAAATATTTAAAAGTTACTATATATAGTTCTTGTCTTGACGATGGAGACCTAAATAATGGAATCTTACTCAAGCAACCCAAAAATATTTCAACTGTCAATATCAGAATGAATTTTTTCCTTTAGCTTCTTACTAATATAATAACTAATAACCAATATTGAGGGCTGCATAATCGCGAAGACTATGCGTAAAACGAACAATACTAAACTCACAAAGTTTGTACCATCTGTTAAGAGACCGGACTGCAGGCCGATGATAGGACTATTAACGGAACATTGTCTTCTGGAGTCTTATGCGTTTAAGATAGGTCTGACTGCGAACAACAAGTGTATTAAATGTGAGGAATGTGAGGTATGCGAGGGGTGCACGTAATCTGCGAATGTCCGACTTTAGGTAGGCAAAGGCTAAGAATACTTGGCGCAGAAAGACTACGAGATCTTCAATCAGAATGGCCAAGAAACCAGAACGACTACTTAGAGGCACAATAGGAGTGTAGCAGCACAGCTTGGTCGCATATAGTAGGAATGGCAATGGACGTATTATCGTCTATGTGAGAACCACTTAGTCAGCCAGCTTAACCTAACCTAACCAATATCATTAACACACTTGAGTGGTTCGCAATGCGTACTACCAATCGGAAGGCCTACGTACCGCTAGTATTGTCGTTTATATGTAAGCAGAATCACGATGCATATGACTGTCATCAATATACTGTAGATTTGTGTGAAATCTACACGAAAATATTTCAAAACAGAATGGAAATTATCTCTCTCCTCATATAAACAACTAGTTCTTTGTTTGCTGAACTGTCTGTCATGTGAATCCTTTTAAGTTGGTCGAACTTCAGTCATGCTTTAGCAATTTAATAATTTATGAAGCATTGTGGAACTCAAGATATCGAAATCGTTTGTTTTTGTATTCAAAATGAGTGTATAAGTAATACCGCTACTTCCACTAAGGTCGTTCGAAATCCAACTAAGCGTCTTTACTGTCTTATTAATTCGCTCGATTGTCAACAATCAACTTGTTAATATAAGGAGATGCAATAATGGAGAGAGAAGTCTCTATATTTTGTCCAATCGTCCGTTTCGTCCGACCGTATGTTATATTTGAATAGTTCACCCGGAAAGCTATCGTTTCCCTCCGTTTTGCTCATTTTCAGGCAGGCAATCGAGTTTCGTCATTGGCGGAAAACGAAACGTCCATTCATATTACATCTCTCTTCAACACCCATTATTTTTTCTCCCTATTGCAGTTTGACTGTTCTCAACCGAGCATTATTTACCCACTTTCCAAATTTCTAAAAATCTTTTATTTCTTTTCCGCCGGCACGTAGGGACCTTGAATGCAAGGCCCTACTTGTACGAGTAAAAAACGACCGTCAATCTTTACCTTGTATCTATTGACCGACGTTCTTTGTTGCATAGAGGTAGGTTCGCATATTTACTACAATAAGATAGGGCCTCGTTTCGTCATGTAGAACACTGGCGAGGGCGAGCAAGCGCTCATAGGTGCATTCTATGGGACCATAGAAAGCATTCTTGGTCACATCGTCCTTATTTGCTGTCGGTTTCGGTGAAGAACTTTTCGTTAAATTAGATTGTTTGAAGTGAATACCAATACTCTTCACAAGGGCGAAATAAGATGCGCTTTATTTCTTTACAAGAACATTAACCAACTGGGTTAAGTGTCCATTGCTTGTAATTTATAATTCAGAAAAATCTTTAAAGCTTGATTTGAGAAATAATACCGAACGTTTATATCATTGAAAGATAAGTATAAAGGCTCGAAACTCCTTATGCAAAGCAAAAGTCTGTACCTCTCTCGTAACGGCTCTCTTGGGATGTGTTTCTCTATATTACAGTTCACAAAATTTGATCGAATTTTACAAACAAATTTTATTGTTCAAAATTTCAAAAATATGAAAAGGAAACCTTCCGAACTTCACAACCTCTAAACAATGGCTCCCGTATACACCAGACGCTAATACCATGGATTATTTTCTTTGGGCCATTTTGGAGAGTAAGTTCCGAACTTAAAAATACAAAAGTCCCGAGGCGCTGAAGAAATCCGTTGTCCGCTAGTGAACCAAAATACCTGCAAGTCACCATTGGGGGGCAGCTTGCGACTCGCTTTTAGACCGTTCCAAGGCCATAGTCAAGACAAAAGGTGGTAATATTGAGCAAACGTAAATTAATTTGTATTATTTTCATACATTTTGTACTTTGAATTGATTAAAAGTAGTTTTCCAAACTGAATTTATGACCTTTTAGCATAAAGTGACTTCTTATTAATGAAATAAGATTTCTTAAATTTCCATTTGCGATACAAAATAATGATACAAATATATGTATAAAATGTACGTATGTATTGAATTCTCACTTACCGCTTGTCCTTGCGCGTTTGTGACGTTCGAAAATAGCCATTGCCCATTGTGCCGCCATAGCACAGGCTGTGACTTTGTCCTGACCCTATTTTGAAATTTGATGAAAGTCAATTCGTTGCACTTCAAATAATAATTAGTCAAGCTGCAAGCAAATAATTAATATTTATGTCAATGAGAAAGAGAAATAAGGTGGATGAAGTCATAAATTGAGTTCAATTAGAAATTTTCTTTTGTCATATGCGGCTTCTTTTTATCAATTTCGAAACTCGAATGTTCCATTCTTCTTCTTTTTATCCTTTGCTGACGTAGACACCTTACGCTTATCCTATTATAGCCGAACTTATAAAATTGCGTCATTTATTTCTCTTTTTCGCTAATTGACGCCAATTGAAGATACCAAATACAGCCAGCCTTTTCTAAAATAATGGAGAGAAGTCTTCCTGTTCCTCCACTTTCATTGGCGGGCACTTTATGGAAAACTTTCAAAGCTAGTGTTTTTCCCGTACTTACCATATGACCTAGCCAGTGTAGGCACTGTCTCTTGATTTGATGAATTATGACTACGTCGCCGTCTATCTCGCTCAGCTTATCCTTTTATCGGTTGCGGTAATTGCTGTTGCTTATGCGTAAACAGACATAAATCTTACGAAAAACCTTTCTCCCAAAAACTAATAACGCCATGGGTCTGCCCCATATACCAGGTACCTTTTCTACTCCGCACGTGTAGTGCTCAGAAGCAGCGTTGTAGAGGGCTTGAGGTAATGTCGCACAGTTCTGCTCTGATTGCAAAATCGGACATGATCACCGTGTGTCACATCGATCTTATTTGGAGTTTTTCGATCAGGAGAGAACCAAATATAAATAGCTCGGCGAATTTTCTTGCGCTGGAATCTAGAACTACAGACGACCATATTTCGGGCTCCGGTGAAGTCTATCAACCTCAACATATTTGGGATTCCTTCAGCACGATTTTCACATCGTGACGGCCGTAGTAAATGTCATAGGGATCTACACGCTTCTGTCCTTGACCCGTCCGTCAAACTTCTTGGACGGCGGTGATGTTAGCCTTTATTCCTATGAGGACGTCAGCCAGATGGTTAGCGGCACCTTTCCAATTAAGGAACCAGACATTCCAGGTCCATGCCCTCAAATCGTGATCTTTAATTCGTTGGCAGTGGTCGTCGGGGGTGTTAAATCTTTCATTGGACCTGCTTTCTGCTTGGCGGATCTCAAATCCAGCAATAAGTTTAATTTTTTACACACTTTTATAGCCAGCGACTTGCTTTAAGACCGACGTCCGCTCACGATCGTACATCTGGTAAGCAGACGCTGCATTTAGATCTCAGCGGACCCTTAAACCGAGTAAGTCGGCGTGGATCTACTGAAGTTTCCTCTCTTTATTGCCGCGGCCTAAGGCTCCATACAAGTTGGTAACCACATTTTGAAGAAGGGTTGGTGGGGTTCGCGACGTGAATGCAAGAGTTGGAATTGAGTATAGCCTTGCAGCTGTAACTGCATACCCAAAAGCTTGACTACAACCCATTACACCCTCCATCTCTATTAGGCAAATTAAATCCAATCAGCTGGGATGTTGGAAAGTATAATTTCTCCTTTGAAAGGTCTGTGGCTATTTTTTTAATCTATATGTTTCGGCTGATAGCTTTGGCTAGCTATCAACGGCCCAACGCTTTATTGTTATTTCGTACGACATGCGGTCCGTGTAACGGAAGCGATTGTTGCCTAATTAAATGTATAACAGCTTAACTTTCTTTCTGAAAGCAGATTTACTTTTTTTATGCATTTCTATATAATTTTCTGATCATTTTTTATATTTATTTATGTAAATACACGATTAATATCATCTAACCGCTTGCTTCTCATTTCAATCCGCTTAATTTTCGTTGCACTCTCCCCTTTCCCCTTTCATTTGCATCATCTAACATTTGGTTTGGCACTCATCCGTTTCACATTAAGACACCGCATGCATCCGCCGCACTTGAGCTCCTTGTAAGATATGTAAATGATATCTTTGGTTATTTTTTTCTGATTTCTTTCAAAATTTTACACCTTTTTCTTTCTTCTATTTCTTCTTTTATGTTTCGTTCAAAGGCAAAACTAAAACTGTAAATGAAAATTCAGTGCCAACCGCCAAAGAGAGCAACCTTTTATCAAAAAGCATGCAAACACATAATTTAAAAAAACCACATCAAACGCTTACAGCAGATGAAACTCTCTCAAAAGGTACGACAAATCTGCGGCCACCTTGCCGCTGCTGGTGGTCAACACTGGCGGTGCGCAGTGCGTGTGCTTTCATTGCTGCCATCGCTTGCAAAACGATAATTATGTTTATTTTTCTTTCATATGTCCATATGTATGTAAACTCAACTACACACCCTCACCATACATACTGTACTCATTGCAATTTGCTTCTACAACAACAACAACAAAGTGGGCGACGAGCTTGCGCAGCTCAAACTCTCACAGTTACGCGCACAGCTGCGTGCTCATGGCTTGAGTCCAGTTGGCAAAAAGGATGTGTTGGTGCAGCGCTTGCAGAGCTATCTGCAGTTGAAAGAGGAAAACCTTCCAAATGCAATATCAACAGTTGCGCCGGATAAGCCGGTAAATGAAAGTGAAACAAGTGACAGTGAAATGTCAACGCAACCTAAAGCGTCTGCTTCGCACGACGACACGCTACATTACCGCGAAACACAGTTAAATGAGGCAGAAGCACAACATAAGGAATATGAAACCGGAACTGGAAATTCTAATGATAAACACACAGATGCCGTTTCGCTTGCCAAAAGAGATCTCCCATCAAATCAGGCTACAGCAAAGCACACAAGCGAAAATATTGTGCCTTATGAAGACACCCCGAACTGTAACAACACAGAACAGCACACTGAAAGAACGGCAAACACTGCCGGTTGGGTTTCCACTTCAGATGGGTGCGGAGAAACCCGCACACAAAGAGATGGTAACGGCGCTGATGTGAAACATGATGACTCCTCTGCTTCTTCTAATCATTCCGATTTGAAACTACTAAACGAAGAGGCGGGAGAACAAGTTGAGGGTATGTAAGTCGGAAAGGGTATTTCGAATATCCTTGGTGTGTGTACAAAAAAAGTAATTCTGAATTTAAAAATCGTTTTTAATATTATTAAATGATTAACTCGTGCATCTATAAGCATGTTTATTATCTTAAAATTAATAACGAAAATTAGCTCTAATGAGGCGATGATTTTGTGTGTATATAAAACATCATATGACGAAACCAGAGCTCAATAACTTTCCCGATTTTTAGAGTATTTAAAAAAATGAATTCTGATGAAATCAAAAAAAAATTTTGTTCGAATTCGGGTTCAGCCAATATCCAACATTATACAATAGATTATTAATTTTTCTAATTGCGGTTGACAGAGAATTTCAAGCCCTACAAACGTATTTCTGATTTGAAATAAGAGCTCCACATAAAACTCCAACGGGTGTTCGGATGCGTCTTACACTACAGGGGTTGCCTTTTGTATTTAAAATAACGTGTTTGAACTTTACTCGTTGGCCAGAAGAACAAAAAACAGCGTTTTTTATTTATTCATAATTGTTGTCCTTTTTTTATCTTCTCTACATAATCAAAATTGATTTCAATGTATTTCTTAAGCCTATAGATCCACTTCTGAAAACAGTCCTCAAAATCTTGCTTTTTGAGCTTATCAAGTTCAGCATTAACCGCTTTTATTATCTCCTCGCTGCTATTAAAGATCTTTCTATTTAATTTTTTTTTTAATTTTTGGAAATAATCAAAAATTACAGGGTGTTATAACTGCGGAATATGGTGCTGGAGATATTTCTCCGATCCCAGATATTGCAATAAAATTACACGTTATTTCGGCAGTGTAAGATGACGCGTTGTCTTTGTGTAAAAGGCAGCGCTGCAAATTCTCTTTCTACCTGTTTTCCAACAAACTTTTTCAAACTTTCGGTAAGCACTCTTCGGTGTGCCATTTCTGACCGTTTCCCAGTGGAATAGCAGCTACGATTTTAGATCGGGTGAAGTAAACTGACTTCATTACTTCAGCTGCTGATTTTTGTTGCTTAGATTTTACTGCTGGGCTTGCTCCTGTTAAGCTCTATACCCTGAACTACTGCTTGGTTTCAGAATCGTACTTATAGAATCAAGTTTCGTCACCAGTAAAGAGTTTACTAAAATTGCCAGACTGACCAATTTCGAATTTGTTTAGCAAAATGCACTCGAGCCTCTTCTTGGGCCACATTTAATTTATGGTACCCTTCGAACAGATTTTTTTCGTCTATCCCAGATGATTGCTCAATATTCAAGCCCAATTTATTAACAAAATCTTCTTGCGCCAATTGTGGGTGTTTGAAAATTTTGGACTTAACCAGAGCTGCAGTGACATCATAAGTGAAAAATTTTGGTCGACCTAATTTGGGCTCGTCATCTACGGAAAAATGCCCAGTCTTTAATCATCGGCACCCCTCAGAAATAGTCTTTAGAAACGGTGCAATCGTTGCATATGCAAATTGGCATTCACTGAATATTTGTATTGAGAGTAAATTACGCCGAAACCCGAGGGGAATCACATCGTGAATTTCTGTTGGCGTTGGTGGTGGAATCAATTCAAGTTCTTTGTCAACACTATCTTTAGCTAGCAGATTAGCGACCTGTGTACTGCAGTTGCTATGCCAAATACCTATATTTCTGCCCATTTTCAACACTACAGCAAAAACATTGGTGGCATAAAGTTCTTCAACCTTCAACAATTGTGCGATTTTAAAGAGCTTATCTGCCGCCTTCTGAACACTCGATACATCCAAAGCTTCTAAAAAAAAGTTGTATGCCATTACCGTTATGGCGCTTGGCGATTACCGTTTTAGTATTGTTAGCAGTGTACTTCCACTCATCAATCAATATTACAGCATCAGCATCAATATATGCTTTCTTATGTGTTTTTTGTCCTTGTCTAGCAGTGTTGTTGACAGCGCTTTTCTTTCGGGCATTTTATGTTCATATAACGGTATTAACTTTTTAATTAACTCCCTAAATGGGTGGTGCATCTATTACATGCATAGGTATGTTGCAGCAAAAAAAAAATGTTTGCTATCTGAGAATTCAATTCGCCTTCCGCTTTCGAGGTTATTCTCTCAAAAAAGTTGTAAATTCCGCATTGTTTTTTCTTCGATGCAGCTTTTTGTGGTATTTTAAAATTTTCTGTTAACATTGATGAGGATGAAGCTGATCCCGTTGACGACGTTGATTGGGATAATAATGTTGTATCAGCTGGAGTTACTTCAGTTCTTTCCCAAGACTAAAAATACTGAGCTTCACATCGAAGAGGATAGATATTTATGCTTTTGCTTCACAATGAAATCGCAGTCACAATTCTCTTCATATCTACTTTTGGACCTTTCCTTGTTCATCTTTTCTTTTTCATCCTTTCTTTGCAACAAGCTGGCTCGTACGTGTTTATCACTGCGATGGGGCCTTTCAATTACAATCATTTATGACACCAAAACTGCTTGCGGAAAAACTTAAACTCTTCTGAATACGTAGCAATAAATAATATTCGAATAAAAAAATTCAATATAAATATAAAGTCGTTAAATTGTTTACCTTTATCCAGTGCTTACGATCTTTATCCAGTGGTGGCGTTGATGATTTCGTTACGGCGTTTACTTATACTGTTGCTAATATTTATAAATGGCACTGCTATTAGCCAACTGACACTCACTGCCAACCCAAATCACCACCAGCATATAATCACACACATATATCTTTACTATATATTCCAGTCTGGCCACATTCGCACGGAAAATTTCGTTTGAAGTGAAGTGAATCCTGTAAATATTCGGCTGGTGTGGCGTATAAGTAACCATTCAGCTGAGTTGTTGCTGTTGTTATTGTTACTGTTTGCCGTCACTCGTTCAATTCACCTTTAATTTGATTAATACGAAACGGCGTCGCAATTGTTCATGTGAAATGCAAACATCGAACAAAATAACAAATGTATCAGGGCATACATACATACATATGTGGCATACATGACTTGAATGAATGCGTATGTATGTATTCATATACAGGGTTTTTCAATGAGTGGAGGTATTTTGATATTCAAAGAAATATTACACTGTTTGAGATAAATATTCGGACGTTTATTTTAATATAAAGAGGAAGAGATACGGCTACACTCACAGTACTTCTTTCCTTTTTATGAAATTTTCCATCACCAAATTCTAAAATGGCTGATGTATGCCTTAAATAGCTTCACGAATTCCAACTTTGAGGTCTTGAATGGACATTGGCCTGTAGGCGTAGACTTCATTTTTCACTTGGTCCCAAAGAAAGAAGTCTCAGGCTGTTATATCACAAGATCTCTGTGGCCAATTACGATCACTTTTTCGGGAGATAACACGATCCGGGAAAATGTTTACTTAAAACATCGATGGTTTCGTTGCTTGTGTGGCACGTAGCACCGTCTTGTTGAAAATAAACGTTGTCCCAAAAAATGCAATCCAATTCCGGCCATAAAAAATTAATAATTTTCTCACGATAGCGCAATCCATTCACCGTAACTATTGCTCCAACCTTATTTGCGAAAATGTAAGGTTCAATAACCCAGCCGTATCATAACAGTTACACGTTGATGACGGAGAGGCTTTTCAACAATAAATCTTGGGTTTTCCATATCACCGATGTGACAGTTATGCTCATTGACGTAGCCGTCGAGGTGGAAATGGGTCTTATCAGTAAAAATGACTCTTCGATGAAATTCCAGCTCATTTTCATCCATTTCGAGGACCCAATCAGCATTAACGCGACGTTGTTGATGATCAGCCAGCTGGACTTTTTGTATTCGCTGAACTTTATAAGACTTAAGGACCAAATATTTATGGAAATATGGTGTATTGACAATTCCAATTTGTGGAATGACAATTTCAAAGAACAACGGGGAATGGACAAGCATGGGCTTTCATATCAACAATCACTAACTTTTTCCAACAGTTCCATTTTTTCCACCAATTTCTGCCTTGCGATCCGACAAGGTGCTTCACGACGATTCAAAAATATTTTAGTTTTACGAACCGTCGTTGCCAGGTTTTCACCATTTTTATAGCGGATTTCTAGTGATTTCGGTGCATTATGGAAGAGTGCCTCACTTCATTTTTATTACTGTTGTAGTAGCAGGCTATATAAAATAATAACTCTTATTGGAAACCCCTTTATATATGTACCTATATGTATTTTCGCGTGTATGTAAATTGAAGTGTGCCAACCGTATGCCTTCTGCATCCATAATTAACGAAATTCAGTCACTTGTGCACGCAGTTATGCAAAGGAGTGAACACGCAATTCAAAACCCTCATGTACATACATATATGTGCACACAAGTACAATTTCATAAAAAACATGAAAGTAAAAATTCTGCCAGGAACGACAAGTCGAAAGATACCAAAAACGAAGCCTACATACATACATATTTACATACATACATGCAAGATTTCTAAAATGTTCATTGCTAAGAAAATTAGGGAAAAAACCAATGGCTACCACTTTCATAATAGCCTCTATAATGCAAAGCTTATTTTGTTCTTATTTACGCATGGAAAGAACTTTTACGACACGTACATATGAGCCATATCCAGAGAGTACGAACTGACCACCTCAAAAGTAGCCATAAAATGTAGGTATTTTCTCAACAAACTCTCAACTAAATAAAGCACTGCCGTCGTTTGGGTACCTGGACACAGGGACACCCCAGTCAATTGCATGGCAGACGAACTATCACGCGAAAAAATCAAAACATCTTATGCTTCTAGACCGGTTCTCCATTGACATAACGACTGATTTAATAACTGGACACTGTTCAAAGGGTTGTCATGGGAAAAAATGGGCTATCAATTAAATGATTTTTACCGCAGCTGCAGGGACAGACAAAAGGAGGAGACCTTCCAGCTCTCTCCTACTGCTCAACCATGAAATCTGGGCAACATGAGTTCCTTGGAAAAAAATTTTCTTCGGCTGTCTCACTGAGATATCCTTAGCGGATATTGGAAATC